TAAACAAATGATTAGAACTCTGAAGGAATATACGTAATTGATTTTGGTAATATAATAAGCACTACTGGTATTAAGGTAATTCGCCCAGTTCTAATAGGTACCAAATATACTAATATAGGTAAAAAGTATTATATACTTTTTAAACAAATGATTAGAACTCTGAAGGAATATACGTAATTGATTTTGGTAATATAATAAGCACTACTGGTATTATGGTAATTCGCCCAGTTCTAATAGGTACCAAATATACTAATATAGGTAAAAAGTATTATATTAGTATATTCGGTACCTATTAAATTTGCTCCAATGCTTTGTAGTTTTAATATAGATACCGTGAAGGTATAAGAATCGAAGAAAAAATCGCTTGGATAAATTTTGTATCGCATAAATTGACCTCGAGCAAGAGCACCACACCATATGAATGCTGCTAATCCTTATTTTGATGTTATGAATTGCTAAAAACGTGTTTTGTTTAAACTAATAACGTAAAGCTACCAGGAAAGGCATTGAGTTGGTATAGGTCTTTCAGATTTAGGCATCGTTTTGTAGTATTATTCAGTACTGATTTATTGATTACTTACTTTTTCTTTTCACCCTTTACGTAAAAAGAGTATTTAACTATCATATTCATGTTATATAATTGCAATAAAACTAATATATATTACACATAAAGTATTAAGGTTGAGCATGAGTTAAAGTAATAAACGATTATCTACTTCAAATTAAACTTTGTACAATCATTATCATTTTTTTAATGTCTAATTACGTTCAAAAAAGTATTTAATTAGATTAAATTCAGGAATTCAAGTCCGAATCGTATCGGGCTTAAACTTAATGTAATATTTAAGGAGGTGCTGTTTTCTCGTGCTTTTTTCCACGCTTTATTTCTGGCGCTATTTTTCTGATACTTTTTTTCTCGTGCTTTTATTTAACTTAAAATTCATTCTTTTTTCAAAATTAATTTTTCGAAGATAAAAAGAAGAAAACATATTTATTTATTCTTGCATAAGTAATAAATTGCATAGAATTCGAGATCAACGGTCCGAATCTGATCGCTAGTTAAATTTATATTATTGTTAAATTGGTATTCTTTCTTTCTTGAAGAGCACACTGTAGATATACCTAAAAACATTAGCATTTTCTTAAAAAAAAAAAAATAAAGCATCAATTTCGACAAAAATAAAATAAAATTCTTTGCTTTAATAAAAGCTAATTTATCTCCTACTATTTGATTATTCTCCTTAAAAAATTGCTTTCTTTATGCCTCCTATAGTCACTTTATTTCCGAAATTCAAGAAAGACAGTATTAAATATTTGATATGAAAAATATATAAAATGAAATTTTATTCCAATAAAATAGTGTTGTCCAATTCATTTATTATTGCATCAAGAATTTTATGCAAGTAGATTCTTCTTTTGTTTAATTCATACTACTATTAAATCAGATAATGCTTCTCAGTTTCATAAATGCTTTTTCTTGCTGAATTTAACCATCAGTTTTGTGACTTCCAAACAAAGACACCGCAATACTTAGTCAAAAGGCGGGAAAGTCATTTGGCGAAATGCAAACAAAGAACTAAAAGGAATGGTAGAGCGATAAAAAGCGCCAAAAGTGCGCCTTAGTTTTCACCCTAGTATGACCCCTAATAAGGATCCCTTCACCTCAATACTTCTCTTCCCTCCCCTCCCTATTTCTCAGACGATTTGAAGGTCATTTTTAGTCTATCTTTTTGACCGTTATTCACTTTCTTTTGTACAAAGGAATCATCTGGATTAGAACATTTCCAAATGATTCTAATAAATTCACAAGAGTATTTCTAAAAGGTAAAGAATTCAATACTGTATATCAAGCAAAATAAATGATCATCAATCTAGATTTTACACATTTCGACAAAACTATATGATTCTCTTTTTTTATTAAATTTCATGTTTTTTTTTTCAAAAAAAATTAATTTACTCGAATTTATAATAAATATTTATTAAACAATGTGCAATCTCTTAAAAAGTTAAAATATTTCATAATAAATAACACTATTTAATTATAATATTTTTATTAACTATATATTTTATAATTATATTCTTAATTATTTATCAACTTTACTTATTTATTAATTTTATTCCGGGATTTTCTTTTTGTGATTTGTTTGCATGATGTAAAAAACATAAATTTACATCTGTTTTACGAAAAAAGCGGCTTCATGTTTTAGATGAAATATTGATTTATTTTAATACTCTTATCGTTTTAAAGTAGAAAAATAAATACTTGTATACAAGTGGTGTCCATTTTTGAATCCGCTTCGTCTTTCATAAAAGCCTTGCCGATAGCGAGTGTTAATTTAATTTTTTTTTTTAATTAGCGAACTAACAGTATTATTTCAAGAACGAACCGCAGGAAAAAATTGATAAATCTTCGATCGTTATAGCTTTAAAAGATTATTGCCAACTCCTATTTCTTAAAATGCAAAAGATTTACTTCAAAATTGCTGAAATTACTTAGACAGCAGACGATTTTTTACTTAACACAATCAATTCAAATAAATCAAAAGTAGAAAATAAATATAGTAATAATCATCCTTTTTTTGTATTATCAAATGTTGAACATCAATGTTGAACTAATTAATAGCCTAAAAAAACATTGAAAATTCCAGATGATATTGTCAGAGCAAGATATGAGAACTCATTCTCATACTCGTATGTATATACACAGTATTTAGGTACAAAATTTTAATGTTTAATTTAAAAATGCAGAAGATTTCGAGTTTCAGTGCAGAAAATGAGACAGTAAACCCAGAATGCATCTACAAAACGCTGCTGTGTATGAAAATGTGGATAAAATTAAGAAAAATTACAAATCTTTCAGAAAAATCTCTCTCTTTGAAAGTCTTCCTTCCTCTTCTGGAGCATTCTGTCAAGAAAAAAAAAAGGGAGCATAAATTAGACTATTCCTCCCCTCTTTCACTTGGCAATTTCTTTTAGAACATGGGAGGTTTTGGAGGGAATGCAAGACCCCTCAACTCTTTGTCCCTTCCTGAGAATCGCTCTTTCTTGGAACGGACCCCCTTCTTGCCCATTCCGTTTCCTGTCTGCAGTTGGGGGGCGAGGGGAACTGACAGTGGGACCTGCTACTCTAAGGGTCAAGGTCAAAGCGGGTTCCTTCTTTGATTCGTTTTTTCGAAGAAAAAATGCTCACAAAGTTGGAAAAAATATTTTTTAGAGGAATGAGGGGGGTGGGGAGGAGGGGGATGAAATAAGCATCCTATCCTTGTAATCTATTTGGTTGTTTTTTCAGTGGGTCATTCAACTTTCTTTCCCCCTTACAAATGTCCCCATCTTCTTGATAAAAGTTCTCTCTCTTTCTAAACTTCAGCGATTTTTTTTCTTCTCTGTAATAAAAGTGTATTGAAAAGAAAGATTCAAAATGAGAGTGAATCAAAGAAAAAGCATTTTCATTAATTTATATAACACTTCCAATTAATTTAAAGTGAAAAAATAAACCTGAAATAAAAAAATAATGTTGTTAGACTTGCCTCTGCTCTAACTCTATCTATTTTTAAAGACTTTATAATATCATTCGTATGAGATATCTATTTGGATTTGATCCAAACATATCTCGTAACACATAAGTAGCTCTAAACAAATAACGAAGGGAAAAAAAGGTACCTTGGAGGTAAACTAATTAATACTACTCGTAAAAAAACAATGAATAAAATAGCTAGAATAGCAACATATAAAATGGCTAGAAACTCAATGAATAAAAAAGGTACAGGTTTAAAAGTACCACTATAAAAATAAAATTATTTTAATAACGGATTCAATTTGTTGGGCCCAAACTTAATATACTTAAACACTTATTCGAATATGATTTAAAAAAATTGTTTAATACATTCAAGGAAGGAATAAAGCCTACGATCAATATGTTACAGACAATGTATAGAACTCCGGCATTCTATAGAGTATCTAATAATGATGATATAAAAAAATTTAATTCAAAATTTGTAAAAACAGAACGATACAAACAAAAATTACACCTTTATTAAAAAAGAAAACAAAACATAATACAAACCTCATACTTGAACTAAGAATTTACTATCCGGCAAAAAATTAAACCCCGAAAAAAATTCTTTTTTTAGATTTCACACATTGCCTAGCCTAAATATGATTATTTAGTATTTATAATTAGAACTGATCAATTCATGATGCGTACAAATTTCATATTACTTTTTTTTAAAAAAAAAAGAAAATCATACATTTTGCTTCGCGTATTTTTTCTATCTATACTTATTTTTTATAATTATTTATTTATATTTACAGACTATACTTAAACTTAGGTAATAAATAGAATAACGGGATTGCAAACATTGCCTATGCATTTTATAGAAAGACAGAAATTTTCTGGAAACAAATTTATAAAATAATTGCCATAATTTATAGATTTATGCATCCTTCGATTACACTGCGTGCTAACTTATGCCAACATATTCTCAGAATCATTTTATTCGAATGCATACATTGCATAATTCTGAATATAGGTGATTAATCATGAAAATCTTGAAGAATTATTTAGAAATAGTTCAGGTGCTTTATGCAATTTAAAAGGATTATTTTCGTAAAAATTTTATAACTTTTAAACAAAAGGATTCGTTACATTGTGGAAAGCTGATCATGACGAAAAAATTTTACGTTTTTCGAATACGCGCCAAGATTTCCCGCCAAGTCTAAAAGGCGCTGATGTACGGTAAACGAAGACCGCACTAATCAACAGCGCCAGCCACTCAAAAATTGAGACTAAAATTATTTATAAATGTATCTTATGATTTTAATATATCTTATTCGTGTTTTTTCTTTATAGAACATAGAACGGAATTTGTATCTTCTCCTTACATTTTTTGCACTTCATCTTTTGTTCCCTTGCTTTGCTTCTGCGAGTGTTTCATTGCTTTGCGGCTAAGTAGCCACGCCTTCACGTGAATGCTTTTATCCAATCGGCCGATCGCAGCTTCTCACGTGACTGACGCAGCCGGCTGACGCACTGGTTTCATATATCCCGGGCTAGAAGAAAGGTATTTTCTCCTGACATTTGGCGCTGTGCTCATGCGGCGCAAGGATTTCAATGGTGCGAATAGCTAGTTCTTTATAAATCGCAATAAAACTTCACTTTTCATTCAAAGCTAACTAAGTATTTTATTTTTATACTGCCTTCTGTTTTTTATACAACTGTGATGCCGGCTAGTCTGTTCAGCAGCGAGATTGATCGCAGTAGGGATTTAATGGAGAACCAACTAAAAGTCGCGGAATTTAGTGCGTATAATATACAGACATTAGGAATGCTTTTAAACAACGACAATGACTGCTTGACTACAGCTTATGATGGGGAACCAAGGAGCAAAAAAAGTCAAAATACCACGGAATGTGTACCCGTTCCTAGTTCGGAGCACGTTGCAGAAATTGTTGGAAGACAGGGTAAGTTCTTTTTCTTTGTTCTCTAGAGTTCTTTGTTTGGGTTAACATCCGGTGTAATTCCCCCGCCACACTCGTTTTTCCTCTCGCTCATCTTTTCTCTCTTGCTCTTCAGTGACTTCAGAAGAGAATATTTTTAATTTTGCTCATATCCTTATAATAGCGAATTGTTTTTACTTAATATTAAATATTGTGCTAATCTTCTTTCAACATTTGTTTCGAACTGTTATAAACCTTAGTGCATTCTTTTAAAATGAGTCTTCCTATTCTTTTGAAATAAGTTCACATGAATCTAGTATTTATGAATTTTAGTTTTTTTTTTATTTATACTAAGACTATAAGTTAAGAGTTTTCCATTTAGTAATCTTTTAAAATACATAATATGTTGTTTCTGTATCTTATCTTGATAATCCTTCTTAATAATTTTCATTTCTCGCGACTTTTCTATTATGATTAATGAAAATGGCACGAAAAATGCCTTCCACCATGAAAGTAGTTGTGGTTTGAATTTTATTTAATTACTCCCACGTGTTGCAATTCAAAATTTGAAGTTCATTTTATGGTTTTTATTGAGGTGGATAATCTCATATTATTTGTAATTATAATAGTGAATGTTTTCAAATCTCTTAAAGATTATATAATTTGTAATTAATTACTAAAGAGTTCTGGTAAACCCTGGAAAAAAAAAAACATCAAGTTTCTGGACAAGTTTTCAGCATGTTATTCAAATTATCAAAAGGAAAGTTAATTATGGCAAAATTAGTTCCAAGCTATGTAATTGTGCCATAATGTACTTGCATTTTGGTATTTTAATTTTTTTATTGTATTTGAAACTTCATGGTGTCTGGGTTACTTGAATTCTTAGGTTTTTTGAAATTGTTGAAGAAATTACTCTAGGTATAACAGAATTTGCTGTGAAGCATCTTCAATGAATCTCAGGACTATATTTTGTAGACATAATAGATGATTTCAATTAACCATCTACTTTTAAGCTATAGTGAAGCAAATTCTAAGAATGACTTCATTAAAAAAGATGACAAATTACATTGTTACAAATTATTTGGAATAAGATTTGTAAAGTCATAAGATATTTACACTCAGTAGGTACATTTTGCCCTGCTGTTGGCTTAAAAGGTGTTGGTTGTTAAAAGGTGTTGGCTTTTATAATAGGCAATAAAACATAATCACATGTTCTTTATCCTGTTATGAATTTAAATTTTTTGTTTCAACTCTATTATTTTAGCACTGAATATCATCCACCTTTTTACACTTCTCAAATATGGAAAAGAAAATCCAAATAAGTTTTTTAATAGAGAGATCTGCCTAATTCCCCCCACCTAACCTACTTTTGATTTTAAAATACATAAATTAGTATATATCTGAAATTAATAACAGCTCAAAGAATTTAAATGAATCCAAATAATAAATTGTAAGGAACAGGATACATAATTAGGAAATCACTTGTAATTTGGAATGCTATTAATGAGAAATTAAATTATGATCAATTTTGATAAGATTCAACAACATTCAGTAAGATTTAATTTTTTCCTTCATTTTATTTTCCCTTTGAAATATTAAAATTTATCTGTGGATAATGTGCGTACAATATTTCTATACCACTTCTTAAGAGTGAGATTAAGTAATTACACAATCTGGTTTTGACGTCAAAATGATACCAGAATGTTGAGGCTGTTTTTCGAAGGCTCAGTCTTAATTTTAAACTATGCTTTTTGGGAATAATGTTAACAGTTACTCATAACTGTTAGGTCAAGTTTAGCCTATTTAAAGCCAACGCTGACTTCTCATTTGTTCATATTCAAAAATATTGCCAAGAAGTCACATTTTTCATTGTTATATTTCAATGGCTACGTAATTTCGCATGATTTAAAAAAAAAATTTTTTAAAGCATTACGATGCATGATTTTTGAATTCATCTAATCACTTCACAGTATATATATTTCCTAGATCGATAACTGATAAAAGAGAAAATAGTGCTGGAACATTAATATTTATATAAAGTATCACATTTGCCACCAACTTGACAAAATGGCTCATGGTATATGACAATTAAGTCATTAACAAAATATAAGTCATATTTTTGATGAATTTTTGTTCTTATTTAGGCAACTATTTTCATAGTTTTTGGCTACTATTTAAATGGCTTATGCCATTTTGTTCATTTTTTTCTGTGGCCACTCTGTAATTTTCACCATTACTAAATCTAAAACTGCTTGGCTTAGCATTTTTGCCCAACCTGTGGACCACTATCCAAAGTCAAATCAAGATTATTAAAAAAAGAAGAAATAGTGCTGGAGCAAAAAAAATAATGGTTAAGTGATGGAGATATGAATGGTTTCAGGAAAAAGTATACAAGGTTAGCTGTAAATTTTTGTTTTGTTTGCCAAAAAAAACATGATGTAAAGAAAATTAATTATAATACTTTTTTAGAAAATAATAACTAAATGATTTTAATATATAGCCTATTATCAAGGAAAAGTAAATGGTGCCAAGTGAGCAATAAATTTCTAAAAGACACTTCACAAATTATCTTTTCATAAAAACGGACCCTTCACAAAATGATTTTTCTTTTAATCGGACCCTTTACAAATTAGTTTATCTTCGTTATTGTTTTGTTTATCAAATAAACCCTTCCCAGGGCAGAAAACAAGAAATATGGATGTAAACGAATAAGTTTTATTTTCGGCATACGCTTTCATTATTCATCCGAAATGAATATTCTGCGTTCAGCAGTATAGGCTAAATACCAAATATTTGTAAGTTGCATCTCTGATTTAAAAGCAGCAATTGATGTTTATTTTTGAAAATTTAATTTTTACAGTGCTGAGCATAATCTTGTATCTATATACAATTTAAAAACTCCTTGTAAAAGTTTTTTGCAATAACCGGACCCTATTTGCACAAATTCATAAAAGCGGACACTGTTTGAAAGAATGTGAGTAATTTTTTCACAATTTCGCGAAAACCGGAACCTTCACGAAATGTCTGGACAGTATTAATTGGCTAAAAAAATTAAGTCGTGAAATAGTTTCAGAGCCATGCTCACTGAAGATTACTTTTTTCTTCCAATCAATTTGACCCATTGTATTTATTTAATGTAACTGGGTTAGAAGAGAGAGAAAACAGAAATCTCATTTTAATGTTCACATAAATTGAAAATTTATTCAAGCACTTGACAGATATCTTTTGTAAAAATGACTCCATTGTGAAAAAAACTCCATCCAACTTCATGTTCAACTGACTAAAAATTTTATGCATGAGTTCATGTTCATGCAATTACAAAATCGAACATTACGATTCATAATTGCAAGATGTTAGAAGGAAACATTGATATTCCTTTACAAGATTTTAAAATTACATATAGAGATTCGTATTCATGTAATTTAAAAATTACACATTGAGATTCATATTCCAACAATTTAAATACGTAAAATCTTGCATCAATATTATATTAAAACATTGATAACATTCTGTGAATAAATTTTTCCTACAGACACTTTATTTTTGCTTAAATTTCAGGTATCTTTTTCATTTTTTACAGAGTGTTTACATGACATTTTTGAATTTCTTTTTCAACTTTTTTTGTTTTGCACCTAACTCAATTCTTTGGTATAAATCACTGTAAAAATAAAAATTTGACCTTACTTCTTTCAAAATTCATTTTTGTGGCGACTAAAGGATTTAAACACATAAGCACAAGAGTTAATCGATGCTTGCACAAAGTTTTTTTATTGAGATTTTGTGTTTGCAGAAAGCTTTTTTTTCTAATTCTGTCATTTGAAAAGTTTACCATCACAGAAGTATTGCCATGTTTTCTTTTTATTAAGTAATGGAAAGGTTTTATCCTAAGAATTGAAACCAATCTGAAATGTCATCTATATGGTATCATGTGACCATGTTGGCCTTTGGTTTTGATGTAAGGAAGTTATTAGCTATTATAAATAAGTATTTATAAATAAACATAAGTATAAAATTAAACGTGATCAATCGTGTATAATCTTTAAATATTTTAAGCTTAAAAACTTGAAATATTGAATTGACTTGACTTTACTCTTTTTGTTTTGACAGTTACTGCCGAAAACCTGGTGTAAAATTGCAATTTAATCAATCCGTTAAGCTGTTAAATTATTGAAAGTAAAAATAAAATAACATGTAATTAGGATATTTATTCTGTTTACTAAGCTAAATATAAATTGTAATTTAATTAAACCTTATAATTGAGTAAGTGAAAAAAATTAACTAATTTATACAAACGTTTATATTATTCTCAGCCTAATATTCCCTATGAACGAAATTTCTTTTTAGGTTAGAAATTATAGCTTTTTTTAGTGCAATAACTTTTTCAAAAAACTTTTGAAAAGACTTGGTGTAAAAAATTCTTATGCATTTTCACAATTCTTGAATAATGTGTTATAAGAAATCAAAGTATTGAAATAGGAATTTATCAAATTAAATTGATGGTCCCAAATTTAAACTTAAGGAATTCAAATTGATGAATACACAAACTGACTGGTATTTTATTTAACAAGTTATAATTTTGCACAGCTATAATTTTACAAAAGATTTGTGGGAGTTTTTTTAGAGTTAGCATTTTCCCATGGCTGTCTGAATTTCAACCAACTCTTATACTTAATGAGAAAGCAGTTATTGTTATCAATCACTTACTGTCATCAAAATCAATTAGACTGGATTTTTATTTGCATGTAAAAATTTAACTGGAACATACTTTAATGTTAAAGTGCACAATACACCATAGTATGCAGGTATAACCCTGGTGTAACTTTATTTTTATTCATCTGGATTCAATTTTAAAATATAGTGATGTACTCTTATGGTTGGGTTGTAAAAATAAATTTTCAAAGTATTAATTAATTAAAAAATTTAACTTCATTGTCTGCTTGAAGATGCTTTTTTAAACCAAAAGTGGGAAAATCAAGACTTTCAAAAGGAGTTAAAAATGGAAATAATTTTCAAAAATGAAAAAA